CGCTCCATTGCATCGCACACGAAGGTCAAATGACCGACCAGACTAGTTATTTTTCGGGGACCTTTAAGTTTGTCTCTTGCTTGCCAGCGTACCCGCTTTGGCATGACTTTCTTCATCACATGTTAATCCGTGAATCTTTTCTGTAAAGGCTTGGATTCAGGTTACCGTCCGGTCAGACGAAGGCTCCCTCACGAATCCGAACAAAGCTGCTCAGCCATCCAAACATTGACAGTCTCCAAGCTAGGAATGCGCTTCGATATAATAAGAAGGGGGACCATCGACTTAGCCACACTCTACTCACAACGGCATAGAAAGAAGGGCGCTTCCAAGGTTTGTGACTCATTCGGTACGGTTTGTTACAAGGGGCGTCCAAGATGCATGCTTTCCTGGACGATTGGAATCTGTATTCGAGACTTCGATTTCCACCCTACTCCCTACTAAAGAAGGAATGGAATCACTGGAGAGTCGTCTGCAGTTCACACTTGGGCAAAGACGACACTGACTTTTGAAGCGGAACACGAATCTATTTTCTGCTATTCTGGATTCTTATTGAGCGTAGCGAAATCAAGGTTTATGATAAAGTCAGCGAAGTTTCTATGGTGTTATACCTTTGCGTAGTCTCGGTTCACAGTGGAAGGCTCCGCACCCGAGCCTCGTTAGACTCAGCGGAAGTGTAAGGTGTATGTAAGTAAAGAGAATAGAAGAGATGAAGTCCCTCCCTTAGCCTAGTCTATATCTACAGCTGACGCAACTCCGTACTGACGCCTCACTACTACTACTTAATTTAATTTTAATTAATTAACGGCTAAGCGATTTCATAACCTTCGACACCAAAGAATCGAAGCAGAAACAAAGGCTGTAAAGGGAAAAAACGAGTCTTTCCCGGCTTTGGAATTAGAGTAACCTTCGCATCTCAGCTTAAGACCATGGATAGGGTACCTTTTTCGAGTGAATTAGAAGCAGTTATCTCACCTTTTAACGAGCTTCTAGCGGGTTTAGTCATAAAGAGAGAAGTGGACAGTTGAATCACCCTATCCCTATCTACGCCGCTTTACAAAAAGGACTAATGTCCCCATTGTTCTGATGGCCGACCACCTACCAGACTCTATCAAGAAGAAATGCCCCCTCCAAAACAGCTTTATCAGACTCCAATTTAACCCTAAGCCTAACAACCTTTCTAAACTAAAGGAAGAGAAAAGAATTGAGCTTCCTTCGCCTGCGAGAACTAACTATCAGCTTAAAGTCCTTACTCAACCCACAGGTCAGATTTCCTATCGATATACTTGACCTGACTCGCTTTCCGTCCCGGCTTAGGAGAGATTGACTAGAGCATTTCTTTTCCTTCGCTCGTAGGGGTCATACTTCACACTGGAATCCGGTCTGTCTATCTTCCATCTCGTTCATACCCGGCGAAGAAAAAGCTTCAATTCACAACCTAGGCCAGCTCTGACTATATAGTAGTCCGTCTTCTACCGGCTGAAAGCGGTGCGCCTTCTCCTCATACTTCACCGGTAGTTGGTTCGATTCGCTTGCTTCAGAGGATGCCTTAATCTAATTAGACTCGGCTACCGTCACCAAAGCTTGACGAACAGTGAGAAGGATTTGATTCACTTCCTTCCTCCCCGGCTTAGCGATCCTACGTGGTTGTTGTGCCTGCCCCCGCATGCCTCGGGTCTTCTTACTTCACCGGCTCGCTTTCTTCATCTTCTTTTTCTTTTAGCTACCGGCTAGTCTACCTGCCAAAGGCAAAATGCTACATTCGGAATCTCTAGCGGGATGAAAACTGCTTAAGAAGAGACTCGATCGTAAAGTCAAGCTCTAGTTCATTCACCCTTGAAGGCGCAGGGATATGAGACCAGTAAGAGATAGGACTAACATCAGTCCTTTTGCCCGCCTTCCCTCTAATCCAGTTATCCGACTTCTCCCAGCTCTTTTCCCTCACGACTACTTGCCCTAAAGACCCGGCCCTTCTTACTGAGAGGGAAGAACAGACATTCACTATTCCGAATTACCGGATTTTGCGAAAAAGCCCTATTCGATAGCATCCTATTCTATTCATAGGAGACGTCTTTATCTTCCCTTCCTTACTAATGGGCAATCAGTCCAAGGGGCACTCTTAGGTCAATCAGGCCAGGCTTGGCACCTTTACCACTAGTCAAGCAGGCTAGGTCCAAATAAAGAGAGTTGGCTAGGTATGGCACTTCCTTTCAAACATCAGGCATATTCAAGGCACCAGCTTCTTCCCCGCAATAAGAAATAGCTAGAGTCGCAAGCAGAGCAGCTCCTTGGTGATCTCACTTTCAAAATCGAAGTGGATATCTTTCCTATTGATCTGACTCAAAAGGGCTTGCAACCTATGAATGTGCACCCTATTCTTCCTAAGACCTTTCTCTCAAAGCTTTGCAATTATGAACTCCACGGAACTTTCTCGATACCAACGCAACTTATCCTTTTTGAGCTGACGTAACAAACTACGCGAGCCCCCTAACGAAGCCAACATAAATCCTATCCGAATAAAAAAAGAAAAGGCAGTTTCATTATGGTGGTATACCAGCCGCCTGTTCTGGAACTTCCAGTTCCAATCGAAGCATATAGATCCGTAAATAGATTTGTATGTATAGCCACTTCAGTCGTGCTCGTCGTTTCTCGAAAGTATCTTTTTTCTGGGAACATGGTCAACCAGAAATTATTATGTTCGCGATTCTTCATCCACCGATGCAGAAAATGCTCAAGTTTTCCATTCTCATATGAGGCCGGAAAGTTTATTAGCAACAGGTCGGCACGAAGTGATTCATCATGCTCAAACATGAGCCGATCGTTCGTTAGGGACGGTTTATAGATCATCAAATTCCCACAAATGGAATGAGAAGTGGGTCCATGTAAATGATCGAGACCTCGCAAACAACAACGTTCCTTCCCCATATGGAGTTCGGAACCCAAAGGCAATCGTTGAGTGAACTGTATCTTCTTTGTGTTAGTTGACCTAAGCCGCACCATTACTGCTGGGGTGGGGCTCGGCCTCCGAACCGTACGTGAGACGAGTTTCTGCCTCATACAGCTCGGGCCGAAGACCGGGGGAAGTTTAGAGAGATGGGGAGACCCAGCAGCTGCCGGTCGGGGCGGGGATAAGCTTGCTTCTTCACAAGCTTATCCCCCCCCAAAAAAACCAATCCTATAGCGCTAGCGCTTCGCGTTCCTTCTATTCCATCCCATTTCATTCCGGGATAGGCGGGTAAGACTAATCTAATAAATGAAGTAGTCGTCGTCTGACCAATTGGCTCGGACACCAGACCGCTCGTGCCCGCCCATTCTGTCTCGCCCAAAATGGAATGGCTCTCTTAGTTAGGCTGCGCCCCGACCCGAGTCCCCACGTCCGCTCTTTCTCCGCCCGTAACCCAAGAAGTTGGCAAAGCCAACACAACATTAGTTAGAGTCATCCCCTTCATTCTATGCTGACCCCGGCCCGGGGCTGGCTTTTTGGGAAGTCCGTTCCCACCGCGCTCACGGCCCGGCTGGCCTGCCAGCGGTAGTGGGAATTTTCCCGTTCCCTGGTCAAAGACTTGGGTGGACGCGGGATCTACTCCACGAGGAGCGGTACGGACGTAGATGATATCATCACGACCTCTCTTTTCGTACCGCTAGGGATGCTTAACGCCACTTCGCCAACTGGCGTTACCTGCGCTTTCGTGTCTCTCAGTGTGGTCAGCACTGGGTGTTTCCGAGCAGCGAAGCTTACACCCATTCGCATTAGTTCATCCAAAGTTCCTTACCCTTATGCACGAATTATTGAATAAGCCATCTTCCTATCAAGGTTAAGGAGTCAACTGAGCATCTCAGCGGCGGGATTGAATACCCGGATCGAATCAGAGTTCACGCCGCCCGCCCTGAACAAATAGGAGGCGTGGGCCACAGGTTGCACATAAGCCGCCGGGTCGCACGACAGAAGAACACCCAACATACAGATGCACACTCCTCCATGTGAAATATTCATCTTCATTGGAGCTTTTTGGTAGTAGTCGTGACCAACAGCCATCAGCTGTCGGCTCGTTGGTAAGGCGAGAGCTTCAACCCCGATTTCTGGTGGCACCCCCCACACAAGCACCGCCCGACGAAGGGGGGACGGGGAAAGCTAGAGGCCCAAAACCTTCGACCCTTCTTTCTAAATGGGGGTGCCCGGAGCACCTCATCTTGTCATTTCGTCGTTGCTCATTCCCGTTAGGCCGAAGTGTTTGGCG